CATGTAATTATCATGGCACTGTCCACACTTGTTTGATCCCATTACTAGACTGTGTCCCTCTGTACATGATCCACACATTCTGTGTCCTCTATTATCCACACATTGAGTATCAGTGTGATTCAACTGAAAGGTAACAGGATTAGGAGAACAATAGAGGAGACAGTCCTCATTGATAATGCATGCATTAGGATTGGTTGCAGCAGCATTGAAAGGTGTACTGGTATGATATGTTCCAATCCACAGTAGACCATTGTGTGTAATGTTTAGACTAGTTATATTACATGTCACATTCTCTCTTGAAACACTTTGACTGCAAGCACAGATAAATCCACCTTGTGAGGTATCTACACTAAAACCAATGGGACATTGATTAACAATATAATCCCAATGAATGGAATGTGATGTTTTAGTACTATAAAGTACCAAGGCTTGTATTACTTGACTAGGAGGATGGTTTGGTGTGTATTCAACCAGTGAACAATTAGAATTAGGGTTAGGTCTAACATATACATGATCGACTATATGAGCACTGTCTGGAGTGAGTCCATCACTTATTTCCAATATACCATCAGTGAAATTTAGTGATCCAAAGTAATCATAACCAAGCAAAGCTACATAAAGTTTTAGTGCTTGACCTGGATAAATTTGTTCGTAACTTGGATTTTTCAAATTAGAAAAGTTGCATAACCGAATTTGTGATACATCACCCGTTGAACTAATATTTGGGTTTGTCAAGTTAAAACAATTGCCTCCACTAACAGTATATCCATATATATCATCACCAAGTATTCCAGCTTTATTATTCATTAATGTAAGAGGTATATTTGGTGCCTTTAATATAATGCCACTACTTGATGTCTGTTCAACATAAATCCCTCCACCTTTATAAGAAGCATGGTTATCAATAAACTCCAAGTTAGCTGATGATGTTAATATCAATATTGATGAGTCATTTATTGCTAATCCTCCTCCAACTATTCCAGTATTGTTTTTAAATGTTAATTTATTCTCAATTGTTGCTAGTGACCACCTAAGACTCAATCCTGCTGAGGTACTGTTAGCAACAGTAACATTACTGAGACTAATAAAATCACTGTTTGATATTAAATTTACTTCATTTCCAATAAGTTCAGTATCTGTTATATTGATTTGGACCGATGTCAAGAATTTTACATCAATAATTAAGCCTGCAATTGAGCTGTTAGCTATCAAACATGACTTAATAGTGATAAAAAACTGATTGTTAAGTGTTCTAGGTAAGAATGCATCTTTTGATATTACAGGTCCATGCCAATTATCACAAAATTGAGTGTCCTCAATTACAAAAGTAGAAACTAATTGAATACCAGGAAATTTGCACTCAACTGATTTCACCTTTTCACTAAATTCAATATGAAAGGCGTAGGCAGGATCAAGTCCTGATCGAAATGATGAGTTCTTAATATAAAACGAAAAAAGGCTATCACCCAAAACAAATTTAGAGTGACTATAAAGTATATTATAATAGTTACGAAAGATGACTGACAGATTGTATGAGGCACCGTGATAAGTAAATAATACCATTGCATTGCGAAATGATGTGACATTAGTCACTATTAGTGAGTAATGAGGTAGTTCAGTGCTACATACTGGAAGAGGCTCGTATGTAATAACTACAGCATAATAAACGAAAACTGAGGATAATACCTTAACATCAAAAGTATTGTTTAATTTTACGAAAAAAATTGTCTTGAAAGCTTCTGTTCCATTGAATAAAGAGTTAGTTATTGTAATATTGTTGGATGATTGAGCAGTGACATGAAAATTATTAATGAACATGTTAGAAATAATGACATGACTGCTGTTATAGATGAGAATAGACTTTTTATTACTCCTGCCACTAATAAGACAAGCCTGATCCAGTCCATGTAGAGTAACATTCCTTACTGCAGTCATGTTGACATCATAATTAATGTCACTGGTTCCAATGAAGTAGAAGATGCTGTTATTGTATTGAGACATATCCCCAGCATACACTGATAAAGGATTACAAGGTGACTGAGTAACTGAACTGCAGTCATCAGACACATAATACTGACCAGAGGAGACACTGCAGGAGCTACTGAAGAATAAGAGAACAACCACTAACAGGAGAGACATACTCTTGCTTCTACTAACATACACTGCTATAGTGAACTTGCTGATATAGTTTGAGCTAGCAGCTCTAACTCTCTAAATATGTAAATCTTGTCGAATGAGTAGTCATTAGGAATTTAGTACAGGCATTGACTAAACTCACTTTGTAGATGGAATCTAATGTCACTAACTCCTTTCAAATCAGTTAACTTGCAATATAGCTGTCATATTGAATAATTTTTAGCACGTACTATTAGAAATATTACAGAATGCTCCTGTTATCTAGTTATATATCTCCTCTTCTTCTGGAACATAATTGCAGAGTGCATTGTCAAGTATCAGCCATTAATAATTTGCTCCTTTTCACTTAATGTTTTGGACTCTCTTGTTAGGTGAATCAATTATTTAATACTGTAGTGTGCCTTTTTTGAGGGCTGTAAATTTAGCAGATATATATATTTCACTCTATTAAATTTTGTGATTTTTATCCCCAATTTGAATTTCCACACCTATGCAATTAATTTGAGGAGTTTATTTTTGCAAAATAGCAACAAAATCTGCAAAATTCATGAAATATATAGCCCTCGAAAAAAAGGCGCCCTACGGTATCCATGGCCGGTGATGAATTCATATACCCCATCACTTACTAAAGATCAATTTGGGTTAAGTAGAGAGAGAGAGGAGGAGGGTGCATGAAACGATTTCTTCCTTGAATTCTAATTTGTAAAAGTACAAATTTAGCAATTCTACGAAACATTCCAAACCATGCCACACATCAAACCACATTGATTGTAAGCTACCCCCACATTAAACTATCTGCTTTATACCGTATAGCTCCAAATTTTCGTCAGTCAAAAATTTTGTCAAAATCTTAATTTCTTGTTAAAATTAATTTTCATCAATAAAATTTTTGTCATTTTTGTTATTAATTCACATACTACCCACGTGGAACAAGAATTTCATCGGTT